ATTAACCAATGCCTGGAATATTGCTGGGGCATTGGTTAGGCCAAAAGGCATAACCAAATATTCAAAATGTCCCAAGGGGGTATTAAATGCAGTCTTCCATTCATCCCCCTCTTTAATCCTGACTAAATGGTAAGCATTGCGTAAGTCCAGTTTGGTGAATATGGATGCCTCATGCAGGGAGCAAAAGGCTGAGTCCAACAGTGGTAGTGGGTACTTGTTCTTCACTGTAATGTCATTGAGGCCCCTAAAATCAATACACGGGCGGAGAGATTTGTCCTTCTTGTCCACAAAAAAAAACCCAGCCCCAACAGGTGAGGAAGAAGGTCGAATAAGTCCTGCCGCTAATGACTCTAATATATACCTCCATAGCCTCCCTCTCAGGCTTTGATAGATTATAGAGCTTCCTAGTGGGTAAAGGTGCCCCTGGAACAAGGTCTATACTGCAATCATAAGGCCTGTGAGGCGGCAACGAAGAAGCTCGATCCTTGGAAAACACCTCCTGGAGGTCATGGTACTCACTCGGGACAGATAACAGATCAATAGGCTCAGGGCTTTCGCTAGTGCGTGTTTTAATTGAGGGGATAGATGAATGGAGACAGTGTGTATGGCAAAACAAACTCCAATTTACAATAGTCAACTTAGACCAATTTATGTGTGGGTTATAAAGTTTTAACCAAGGGAGACCCAAAACTAAAGGAGTCGAAGGAGAGTCAATAACGTAAAATGATAGTCTCGTGATGGTTCCCAGACAATAGGAGGGACACAGGAACGGTGCGGTGAGTCACAGTAGCAAGTGGCTTACAATCCAGGGCAAACACAGTCTTAGGATTAGCCAGAGGCTCGGTGGGGATATCGCACTGGGAAACAAATGCACAGTCAATGAAATTGTCATCAGCCCCCGAATCCACTAAGGCCTGGAGCGCAAAGGAATCCTTCTTAGTAGTGACAGTACCTGGTAGATGAATGCGCTGGGTGGAGGGGTCAGTGGGTGTGTGGCTCACCAGGACCCCCCCCGTGGCTGATGAGCAGACTCTTTTGGCCGACTTGGACAACTAGCCAGAATGTGTCCAGCTTGGGCACAATACATACAGAGGCGGTGATTGAAACGACGGCGCCTCTCTTCCGGGGTGATCATACTGCCCAGCTGCATCGGTTCCTCCGTGAAGACTGGAGAACTTGAAGCTGGACCCGCAGTCAATGACTCCATCGGATGGGGAGAAGGTGGAGCAGGTGGAAGAGTGGGCCTACGTCTCCCTGATCTCTCCCTACGTCTCTCTCGCAATCTGTCATCCAATCTAATCGCTAAAGAGATTAAATCTTCGAGAGAGTTTGTCTCATCACGGGCTGCTAGCTCATCTTTGACCTCCTCACTTAAACCCCGAAGGAACACCCCCTGAAGGGCCTTCTGATCCCAACCACACTCTGCCGCTAAGATGCGAAAATCAATGGAGAATGTAGACACTGAACCTGAACCCTGGCGCAGAGAAAGAAGACGGCTGCTCGCCTCTTTCCCCTGTAGTGGGTGCTCAAATACCTTACGCATCTCAGTGGAAAACGCGTGAAGAGACTGACAATAAACAGAGTCGCTGTTAGCTAGAGCCATAGCCCAGGCAGAAGCCTTACCGGTTAACAAACTCATTATAAAAGCTACTCTAGCTCGGTCTGAAGAGTATGTTAACGGTTGCTGGTCGAAAACAAGCATGCACTGATGGAGGAACTGCCTGCATGTCCCTGGCTCTCCTGAATACCTGGATGGGGTAGGGATGAATGGCTCCCGGGACTGGGCAGGCTGGACGCAGGGCGGAGCTGGATTCAATGCCGGACCAGAAGCCTGAGCAGGAGTGGTGATTGAAGCCAGGTGTGTAGCCACTTGTCCAACCTGATTCTTGAGCTCTGAAACTTGAGCTGAAAGCTTCGAAATAGAGTCCATAATCTCCTTTAATGCCTTTTCATGTTGCCCGACTCTCGACCCTTGAACACTGAGAGCTTGTTTGAACCGTTCAACCTCTGCGGGGTCCATTCTTGGCCAGATTATTCTGTTACGGGAGTGTTCTGGACCCCAAAGCAGAGACGGAGACAGAGCGAAATTATAAGAGGATTTACTTTACAAAAACGAATAAACTTAAAGCAGGCGGTTGAGACAGGGAGCTGGCTGGCTGGTCAGGAAAAGGAGGACCTGAACACAGGACACAAAAAAACCATAAGACAAACCGCAAAGCACAAACTCAGACTGTTGCTGTATACTGACGTCTGACATAGTATAATCTGGCAGCAACGTGAACTTCCAACCAGGTACTTGAAGCCAGGGTGATTATGAGGAACAGGTGTGTGAGCCCACACACACCTGCTGCTGAGCCAGCCACGCCCCCGGTCTCACACATGCCTTTAAAACAACAGAAAGGGAGGGGGGAGGCAGAGCAAAACCCAAACCCAACATAAAGTTTACAAAAAAAAGTTGTTCCGATTTCAGCCACAGTTTCAGACGTCTGACGAAGATGTAAAGTGTCTATCTATCTATCTGGAACAGTGATCACATGAAACAAGCTCGGTCAAGACTCTACCGGACCTGGAGGAAATTTACCTATCATGCATGTTTCAGAAACCGGAGCACCTGGAGAAAATCTATGCAGACACAGGGACACTCAGAAGGACCATTTTATCCGACCGGGATTTGGACCCAGGATCTTGTGCAAACGACTCAGCCACTGTGCCACTGCCTCTTGTGGAGGTGATGAAGTATCTATCATTTTAGAATATGGCCAGAGCTGATTAGACTCTGGTCAAATCCAACACAATATTTTTGGGCCAGCAGTATTTTGGGATAGTTTCATAAAGTGGGATTTAATAATGGATACTTTTTTGGTTAAATCAGTATCAGAATCAGAATTAGAATCTTTTTTATTGCCATGTGAGTAACAGGAAGTTAAATCAGAATAAAATCAAAGGCATGCATAAATAAAAATCTACTAGAAAAAAGTGTAACCCGTGACTCTGGCTTGGAATGCCACCCAAAAGGATCTTACACTTATAAATTAATACATTTTTATTGAACTATTGAAATGCTGTGAGTTTGTGAGTCTGACATGTAGATTTAATTATACTTTGACAACAATAAAACAAAATTGATTAAAAAAAAAAAAAAAACATTCTCATTGGACTGGCTTGCCTCTTTGCAAATATGCTTTTTTATTTTTTTATTTTATGACTTAAAACAAAAAAAACACATGCAACACATACATAAGTGCAAAGTAATACCAATGAGAGTAAGAATGATTAAAATATTTAAAAGAATAAAAGAAAGGCTTAAGGCCATCTTACACTCAATCACTGCACTATTTTTCTTTTTTTTCTTGTTTCGGACTAAACCTCTTCAGTCACTGTTAAATCTTGCATCGCTAACGGAAGTATATGTTGCTTTGTAAAAATATCACTGAGGGGGAAACATTTTGCTGAGTTTTATTTTGTCGTTTACTTTACGGTTGCGAGTCGACACTGTAGAAATCATTGATCTGCAGAGCTCCTTGTTCATCTCACAGAATATTTATCATCTCTGGGCATTGGTCAAACTCCAATGTTTTTGTATCCACTCGATGCGTTTTGTTCTGTGCGTCAAAATCATTGTCTTTTTTATGTTCAAAGCACCATGCTGCAGAGTGAGGGAGTCTGAAAAGCAGAATGCTCACGGGGGAATAGTAGTGCTATTTCTGTCCGGTCTCTTATTGAAGGGAGTGCTAGGAGGCCCGGGAGGCGCGCTGTGATATGATTTAGAGAGGGGCTAGCTACTGTCGCACCGGGACACTCCTGAGACCTCCATTCTGGAAAATATTATTAACAATTTATTTTATTTGTATTAATAAAATGTAGTAAAAAAATATTTTAAGGAGCAAAATGTAGGATTATTATGTCAAGTCATCATTACAGCCCCTAAATCTTGTTATTGTTTTCATTCCGATGTCTACCGTTTCACCAATCAGAAAGTCTGATCAGGTTTGCCAGAACTCACCGCTTTGAGCAAATCTCTCTGGTAAAGTACCATGAGGTCTCTTTATGATTCTCAAATCATTAATGAGGAGACTCCCCCAAGGGTCTCACAGAAGGAGAAGTCCTTTTGGTATTGTCAGAATCATTTCACAGTGTCTCTGTGCAGTAGCACCAGTATACACAAAATATAGATACATGTATTTCTCCTACAAAGATCTATAAAGAATCTGTCTATAAAGTATCTATAAAGTATCAATCTATAAAATGTCTATAAAGTATCTATTTATAAAATATCTATAAAATACCAATCTATAAAATATCTATAAAGTATCAATCTATAAAATATCTATAAAGTATCTATTTATAAAATATATATAAAGTATCAATCTATAAAATATCTATAAAGTATTTGCTTGACTGTAAATAGAGATAGCGCCTATGGTTGTGTTGCCACGGCGATAAATGCAAGTTCTGATGGAAGTTCTATTCTATGATGGACCTGACGACACACTTCCAAAGTCTGTATCCAGGTGATGTAATCCTCAGAGTTAAAACTTCACAGTGGTGAGAGGACCGCGGACCCAAGCACAACACAAGCGAGTAGCAAAAAGAGTCCAACAAACGAGGAAAATATTTGATCCAAGATGTGGTGCTTTTCAAAGAACTTTTCAAAGAAGCAGCAGCGGCACAAAGCTCTGGAGGACAAAATGGTTCTCACTGAATCAAACCAGGCTTTGTCCGCGGAGGTCAAGAGACTGGAGCAGGAGCGGAACCACCTGCTCACGGCTCACCTCCAAGAGACCCAAGAACTGAAGGAGGAAGTGAAGCGTCTGAAGACCCAGAAGTCTGCCCTGGTGACCGGCCTCCTGCGTTCCACTTTCAAGTTCAGAAACGAGCGCTACACAACCCAAAGGGAGAAAGAAAGTCTCCAGCACTGTCTGGTCGACACCACAGCAGAGCTGAAGGCACAAAGAGAGGAGGCCCGGCCCCTGAAGGAGGCCTGTGTCCGATCTGTGGACATGGACCAGAAGTACTACTACATGGTGTCCTCACTGAAGGAGGAGAACTGGACCCTGAAGGAGGCGTTTGTCCGATTTGCGGACAAGAACCAGAAGTACTCCAATATTGTGGTGGAGTCTCTACAAAGGGCTATGACGGCTTTGGAGGAGGAGAAGAGGCTGAAGGACTCCACCATCAGAGGTTTGTACAAAGAAGTTCAGTCATAACAAGAACACACAAGTCATAACAAGAACACACAAGTCATGAACTCTTGTGTTCCAGACGCAGAGCAATACATCCAAGAGCTGCAGACCAGGATCCAGGACCTGCACCTGAGGAAAGGTATTAATGAACTGGAAGAACATCTGTACACATTCCAGGAAGAGGCGGAGGAATCCTGAGGAGGAGGAGTCCTGAAAAACGTTGTCATTTACAGAAATGGAGGAGAATCTTCTTTGTGACGAGAGGGACCAACTGCAGGAGAACTGTCAGAGCAGGATCCAGGGGGCTCTGAAGGACACCAACATGGACCAGGATCAGTTCAACCAGAGATATATGACACTGGGGACAATGGACTCTGGTCTTCTCGATGGAGTGGACACAATGGAAGAGCTTGAGGGCAGGACTCAGGACCTGGAGATGGACCTGAGAGAAGGTATTTATGAAGCTATAAGTGAATATTTTATGCTTTGTTACTGAGTCTTATTTCTGACCTTTGTCTGAAAGAACAATCTGAGGCTGATGAACTTCTCTGAGATGTTTCATTACAGTGATTACAAACATATCAATGTCATCAGTCTGTCAAACAATCACTTTACTTTCTTAAAATACTGTTTTATAATTTACAAAACCAATGATCAAAAGCATTGGATCGGAGCTCGAAATGTGTATGATCTGACTTTACTAGAGGAGTTTAGAGAGAAGTGTATCCTGATAAACTGTGTCATTACAGACATGGAGGAGAACCTTCTCTGTAAAGAGAGAAACCTTCGGAGGCAGGCGGAGAGTCAGAGCAGGATCCTGGAGTCTCTGAACGACGCCAACATGGACCTGGAAGCCTTAAACCACAGGATGAAGATACTGGGGGCCATGAACTCTCGTCTGCATGACGATGATGATGAGGACATCGAAGAAGAACTGCAGACTCAGGACCAGGAACTGTGCCCGAGAGAAGGTATTTATGAACTGGAACAATTACGTCCCAGAAAGAGGAGTTTAGAGGGATGTGTGTCCTAAAAAACTTGACATCTATTTCCATAAACAGAGACATCGGAGTTCAAGCCACTGGATAAAAACAGCTGACGGCTAACAACTAACGGCTAACAGCTAGTGGTCATGAGGCTGACGGCTAACCGCTAATGCGCTCTGCCTCCGAGGCTAAAGGTTGAGGGTCAGGGATGAGAGACACCAGAAGTCATGAGGCAAGACTCTTCTCCCACATGGGTCTGAATGGGTCTGAATGGGTGTGAATGTACGGTGGTGGTTAGAGGGGCCGGTTTCGGTTGGCAGCCTCCGTAGTCTGCCCCAGGGCAGCTATGGCTACAGTAGTAGCTGATCGTACCACCATGAATGTGTGAGTGAATGTAAGATGGTGGTTAGAGGGGTCGGCTTCGGTTGGCAGCCTCCGTAGTCTGTCCCAGGGCAGCTATGGCTACAGTAGTGGCTGATCGTACCACCATGAATGGTGTGAATGAATGTGACCAGTGGAAAGAAGAGTTTTGTCTTTGATCATGGGTTTCTCAATCAATCAATCAAAGTTTATTTGTAGAGCGCCTTTCATACACATGGCAACACAAAGCGCTTCACAGTCCACATCACAAATCATCACATAAAAACACCAGAATCACAATTAAAACATTAAAATCACACAAAAGATTAAAACACAATTAAAACATTAAAATCACACAAAAGAATAAAACCATTAAAACTTTCAAAATTACACAAGAAATTTAAATAAATAAATAAATGACAGCAGTGCATTAAAAATGGAGATAAAATCCTTCAGTTGTATGCACAGGCAAACAGAACAGTCTTTAACCTGGATTTGAACATTGACAGAGTAGACGCCTCCCTCACATTTTCAGGGAGATTGTTCCAGATCTTAGCTGCATGGATCTGAAACGCAGCCTCCCCATGTTTGGTTCTCACTCTGGGCACCAGCAGGAGGCCAGTCCCTGTGCTCCTCAGAGTCCGGGCTGGTTCATATGACACCAACATGTCACTAATGTATTCTGGTGCAAGGCCATGGAGAGACTTGTACACAAGCAGAGCCGTTTTAAAATCTATTCTTTGAGCCACAGGAAGCCAGTGCAGAGACCTGAGGACCGGACTAATATGGTCATACTTCCTGGTTCCTGTCAGGACTCTAGCTGCTGCATTTTGGATGTACTGCAGCTGCTTACAGGTCTGTTTGGACAGACCTGTAAGCAGGCCATTGCAGTAGTCTAGCCTGCTGGAGACAAATGCATGGACAAGAATCTCCAAGTCTGCCCTGGACACTATATTTCTAACTTTGGCAATGTTCTTCAGATGGTAAAAAGCTGTTGATGTTATTGATTTTATGTGGCTATTGAAATTTAGGTCTGAGTCCAGTATTACCCCCAAATTTCTGACCTTGTCTGAAGGAAGTAGGGAGAGAGACTGAAGTTGACAAATGACGCCCTCTCTTTGTTTCTGGGGACCAAAGACAATGATTTCGGTTTTGTCTGTATTTAGCTGGAGGAAATTATTTTGCATCCAGTCACTGATCTGTTGGATACAGTGAAGGAGCAAATCCAGTGGTCCATGTTCTCCTGCAGTCAGTGAGACATAGATCTGAGTGTCGTCAGCGTAATTGTGGTAGGACACTTTGTTTCTTTGTATTAACTGACCTAACGGCAGCATGTAGAGATTAAATAGGAGAGGTCCCAGGATCGACCCCTGTGGTACACCACAGGTCAGGGCCACATCATCTGAGACGCAGTCTCCAATCTCCACAGAGTACTTCCTATCCTCCAGGTAAGACCTAAACCAGTCTAGGGCTGTGCCAGTGACACCAGCCCAGTCCTCCAGTCTCTGCATGAGGATCTCATGGTCGACAGTGTCGAACGCGGCACTAAGATCTAACATGACCAAAACTGTGACTTTACCTGCATCAGTGTGAAGTCGAATGTCGTTTGTTACCTTCACTAGAGCGGTCTCAGTGCTGTGGTGGGGTCTAAACCCAGACTGGAACATATCAAAAGAATTATTCATTGTTAAAAATTCAGTAAGTTGTTGGGAGGCCACTTTTTCAAGAATTTTTCCAATAAACGGCAGATTCGATATGGGGCGATAATTTTGAAGTCCCGCAGGATCCAGACTGCTCTTTTTTAGGAGAGGTCTTATGACTGCTGTTTTTAGGGCCATAGGAAATGTTCCTGACGACAGAGACATGTTTACTATTTGTGTCAGTGAAGGTAACAAACTGCTCAGGACGGACTTCAGAAATTTAGAGGGCAATATATCCAGGCTACATGTGGAGGAGCTCAGACTCATGATTATCTTTTTGACAGTTTCAGTATCCACAGGTGCAAAGTGAGTTAGCTCAAAAAGCTTCTCTGGCTGTTGCATTGTTATACGTGCTGTGGAGGTGATAGTGTTTTTGATTCCTTGTACTTTGTCATCGAAAAACTGTGCGAACTCATTACACCTAGATTTAGAGGAAAATTCTAGGGGCAACTTTACAGGGGGGTTCGTTAATCTACCAACTGTTGAAAACATAACACGAAAATTGTTACTGCAACCTCCAATAATGTCAGAAAAATACATTTCTCTTGTTCTACGTAGAACCCGGTTAAATTCACCCAACTCATCTTTAAAGATTTCATAATCGCCCTGGAAATTGGACTTTCGCCACTTCCGTTCGGCCCTCCGGCACTCTTGCTTCTGTGCCCTAACCGAGTCTGCCTTAGTTTTCTTAGGTTTCTGTCCCTGACTGGATCTCTGGCGCCCCCTGGAGGATCAGCTGGGCGCAAAGCCTCTATGACCACAGAATCCAGTGTGAGGCTGTCGACCGTATGGAAGTGATGTCACATGAACTCACCCCCCCCTCCCCCCAGCACACAAATAAACTGCAACAACAGAAAAACCATGTGTGATGTTTTTCATTAACCTCATTCTTTCACTGTTTTTGGTTCTTGGTGTTTTTGATCCAGACACACATCATCTCAGAAAAACATAAAAAAAATACAATCAACTGTCGTGAGTTCCGGATGTTAGAAAAGTGTAGGAAGTATAAAAACCTACAGCTGCTCCTTTGATCATGTCCAGAGATAGTTCTAGAGAAAAGTCTGGCTCCATCTCTACATCAGATTTTTTTCATATTAAAGTGAAAAACAAGAGAACCAGCCTCACTCAGCCAATCAGCTCTAAGCCCAAAGCCTCAGTTAGTGCCTCTCAGGGTTCTTTTGTGCTCATACAGTTCTTACAGTTCTTTTTTCCAGAAGTTAAAGACCCTGACCCTATATCAAGTCTCCTTCCACTCCTTCCACTGAGAACTGGGACCATGTAATGTCCACGGTTCAGATCTGTCTTCGCACAGCGTTCACACCAACACGGGAAAACATGTAGTGCTAGTGCCCGGCCAGTAGGAGGCAGTGGAACTTTAAAACACGTCACACGCAACCCTGAGCAGTAGGCAAGGCACGGCAAGTTTATTTGTATAGCACAATTCATACACAAGGCAACTGAAAGTACTGAACAAAATAAGAACGCATTTAAATCATAAATAATCACAGTACATTAAAAATATAAAATCCCTTGGTTTTATGCACAGTGAAACAGGACTGTTTTTAAACTGGTTTTGAACATTGTCAGAGATTGTCTTCAGGAAGATTTTAGCAACTTGAATCTGAAGTGTTGCTTCTCCATGTTTAGTTCTGACTCTGGGCACAAGCAGGAGTCCAGTCCCTGTGCTCGTCAGAGTCCCAGCAGGAGTCCAGTCCCTGTGCTCGTCAGAGTCCCAGCAGGAGTTCAGTCCCTGTGCTCCTCAGAGTCCCAGCAGGAGGCCAGTCCCTGTGCTCCTCAGATTCCCAGCAGGAGGCCAGTCCCTGTGCTCCTCAGAGTCCGGGCTAGTTCATATTGGACTGTCTCTGAGCCACAGGAAGCCAGTGCAGAGACCTGAGGACTGGACTAATGTGATCTTACTTCCTGGTTCTAGTCAGGACTAATGTGATCATACTTCCTTGTCACTTCCTACTTCCTAGGACTCGAGCTGCTGCATTTTGAATGTACTGCAGCTGTTTTACAGCCTGTTTGGACAGACCTGTGAGCAGGCCATTGCAGTAGTCTAACCTACTGGAGACAAATGCATGGATAAGAATCTCCAAGTCTGCTTTAGACACTATGTTTTTGATCTTGGCAATGTTTTTTAGATGGTAAAAAGCTGCTGATGTTACTGATTTGATGTGGCTATTAAAATATCCAGATGTCTGACCTGGTTTGAAGGTTTGAGGGAGAGAGACTGTAGGTGACAGATGACGCTCTCTCTATGTTTCTGGACTAAAGACAATTATTTCAGTTTTGTCGGTGTTTAGCTGAAGGAAGTTATTTTGCATCCACTCACTGATCTGTTGGATACAGTGAAGGAGTGAGTCCACTGGTCCATGTTCTCCTGCAGTAAGTGAGACCTAATGGCAGCATGTAGAGATTGAACAGAAGAGGTCCCAGGATCGACCCCTGTGGTACTCCACAGGTCAGGGCCATATGATCTGAGACACAGTCTCCAATCTCCACAAAGTACTTCCTGTCTTCAAGGTAAGACCTGAACCAACTTTGGGTGGTGCCAACAACACCCACCCAGTCCTCTAGTCTCTGTAAGAGGATCTCAAAGTAGGAAGGTACCAGACTGCTCAGAACAGACTTTAGAAATCTAGTGGGTAGTACATTCAGGCTGCATGTGGAGGAGCTCAAACTGGAGATTATCTCTTGGACAGTTTGATGATCTACAGGAGCAAAGTGAGTTAGCTCAACGAACTTTTCTGGCAGTTGGATTGTTATCTTTGGATTGGAGACAATAGCGTTTTTGATGCCTTGAACCTTGTCATTGAAAAAGTGTGCAAACTCATTGCATTTACGTTTGGAAGTTAGTTCTAATGGCAGCTGAACAGGGGAGTTTGTTAATCTATTAACTGTTGAAAACAGAACACGCAGATTGTTACTGCAGCCTTCAATCATTTCAGAAAAATACCTTTCTCTTGTACTACGTAGCACCTGGTTAAACTCACACAACTTATCTTTGAAGATCTCGTAATCAACCTGGAGGTTGGACTTGCGCCACTTCTGCTTGGCCCTCCAGCACTTTCTCTTTTGTACCCTAACCGAGTCTGCTTTAGCCCACGGCGCCTTCTGCTTATTTTTCACTATTTTAACCTTCACAGGAGCGATGGTGTCCAGAACATTCAAAACACTAGAGGTGACAGAGTTAAAGAACTTTACACCCGTGTGTGGACTTGATCTCAGATCAATCACAGAGTAACAGAAAGTGCAGAGAAGCGTGTTGGGTACAAACTCCTTTAACAAAAGGTGTTGGTTATAGATTTATTGTTGACAAAACTCCTAATTCAAAGATTATGGTCCCAGCTGGATTTGTCTGCATATCTGGCAACTTGAGTCAAGGAGAGTGCAGTACCACTTTTGGCCTAATTGTTGCATACTGCTCCTTAATATATATTTAATCTTTTTATATTTTGTGTGACAAGTTGTCAATACAAAAGAGCATTGTTGTTGCTGACAAAACAAGCCTTTTACGAGAAGAAAGAAGGCGCTGGAATAATGCATTGGATAATTCTGTTTCCAGTTAAGTCATAAGCCTGGACCCGCCCCCACTGGTCTTGCCATAAGCACCCAAAAAACAGTTTGGCCTTTTAATGCGGTGGCTGGTTTTCTGAGATGTCTCACATCAAAACACTGAACAGGCCCTGCCCTGCTTAGTATCAGAGATCTGACATAGCTTGGTATTTACCGCCTATCTGACCTGGTAGTAAGATATTAAAGGCTGGTTGCCGCTAAATCAAGAATATCAGTCATAACTTTGGTCTTTTCATTGTATGTTGTAAAAGTTGGTCAATACAAACATCATCTTACACAAAACCCGAATATATCACAAAAAATTCTGCACAAACACATCTTTAAACTTTGCATTGAGTCTGGAAATGCAGCCAAACATACTCAAAGTTCCCCCCAGGCAGCTGTATGATGCACAGCTACAGTATAAAGATGCATTAATGCATTTATCGCAGCCCCCTGCTGTGGCGCGGCTGCAGGAGTGGGACTGTGCTAATGCTGAGAGTGAACGGGCCTCACTTCCACAAATCAATACATGCAAACAGTTCACATAAAGAATGACCAGCGCCTGCCGCTCCCCAGGGCCATTCAAGGCATTAAATCAACGACTTGAAGAAAGAATGGCGACTTTCAATCTGACACCTGCTGCGTGCAATGCTTAATGTCACAGTTTTAAGACCATGGTGAACTTGAACTTTTCTTTGACATGTTTTCAAGCCGAAAAAATGGGCATGTTCTTGGGTGACCGACAAGTACATTTTACTTTCAATGTAATAATTTTCTTCACAGCGCCAGGAATAAAATAATACATTATGAGAGGCAAGCTCAGGCAAATCTATTTCTAAAGCAACATTCATGCAGAAGCAACCCATGGTGCTTAACAGTAGGAATTAAAAATGAGAAATATAAAAAATATATACATACATATGCATATACGTTTCTGTTTATCTGTCACGAGGGGTGAAACGAAGAAAAAAGGTAACCCAAAATGCAGGACTGAAAATCAAAGTAATTTAATAATATACACCCAAGTTAATGTAAAAACACAAAAACTCCAGCACTGAAGACAGGACAAACATGGTTGAGACAATGGACGGACAACAAGTGAGGAAGGGCACAGGGTATATATACACACAGGGACACACTGGTGAATCACATTAGGGCGGGGCAACAATCAACAGGACAGGCAGGATTCAAACTACATAACTTAATATATAGCAAAATAAAACCAGGTCAAAATGTCCACACCATGACAATATCAGAGTCAGAATCCTTTTATTGCCATGTGAGTAACAAGAGGTCACACACTAAGAAATTGCTTTGGCTCTCAGTGCAAACAATTTAAAGCAGAATAAAATAAAATCAAGAGGGAATGCATAATAAAAATCTAATAAAAACAATAATAATAATAATAATAATACATTATCATCCTTTAATATAAGCACAGGCAAATAGCCAAGCTTTAATGCCTGATTGGAACAGATTAATTTACAAAATTACAATATACAGAGTACCAGCGGAAGGGAGAACATGCAAATTCCATACAGAAAGGTCATGTTTGAACTGGGGATAGAAAAACAAGTATAGGACAATAGTCATGTGAGTAACACAGCATTTGATATTTCATCATGGTCCCAGATTTTGCCTTTGGAAAAATACATTATTAAATAATTCTTCTATGAACTTGATTTCTCACTGAAAAAGCATCTGCAGACATTTTGGACATGAACCAAACCTGAAACACACGTCTCACTTTTGTAAAGTGGAGCCAGAGCCCTTCAGTACTGGTCTTCGGTCTGCACATGTGGCCTCTTTCCACTTTACATGACAAGCAGCATTGGAGCCCGCTCATTCTATTAGACTGCAGAATCTGAGTTCCCTTTACAATTAGTTGACAAGCAGAGCTGTTTTTAAGTATTTTCTCGGAACCACTGGAAACCAGTGCAAGAACCGCAGGGACCTCGGATTTGAACACGGTTGTACTTCCTGGAGTATTTATTTTGAATAGACTACAGTTTTCAAGAGGCCTGTGAGCAGGCCATTACAGTCCAACCTACTGGAGGCATTGATAAGAATATCCAAGTCTGGCTGTTTAAATTTAAGTCAGTGTCCATTATTACTCCTTTATTTCTGACTTTATTTGATGGTTTTAGGGGTAGAGAGACTGGAGGTGACGGATGACGCTCTCTCTTGACCAAAGTCAATCATTTCAGTTTTGTCTGTGTTTAGCTGGAGAATGTTTTGCATCCACTCACTGATCTGTTGGATGCAGAGTCCACTGGCCCATGTTCTTTTGCAGATACATTGTCACTGCATATTAACTGACCACTGCAGACATTTTGGACATAAACCAATTGCCTCAATTACCATTGCCTCATCAGAAATACGTACAAGTATAAGCAGTCATAGAGAAAATAGGCTTTTCCCTGTCCTCACACTCCCTTATCCAAAGTCTCTATTTCAGCAGACATATTTATAATACTTAAACAAGCTCATCAAGATAAAACAGGCAACCAAAAGGAACAAACGTGTTATCTTCCTTTTCAAATGGCCCAAGTTGTTTCTTGTAATGACCCATTGACTCCGATGTATTCATTAGTGCAAATTTACAAGGCTATAAACCGCGCTGCATAGAGGATTTATAAATGACTTGTGTTATGCGTTGTGAACGGAAGGCACTATGCAAAGATTAATTCATTACTAAACGAATTGGAGACTGAATAATTAATTCGGGCTCAGTGCGTATGGGCTGGTCGCTTTATACGTACGTGAGATAGCGCTGGGATGGGAAAAAAGAGGAGCAACCGACAAATGTTCCATGGATGATCTATGCATAATTCATGTAACTATGTAGCAATGCAGCGACTCTCAAGGACGCTGTGGTCTGACATGTGCAGAATGTGTTTAATCATGAAGAATCTTCCACGTTAACGTTGAAAAAGACAAGTTTGTGGGTATTTTTGTAGACAGTTAGGTCACGCAATGCTTATTTTTCCTTTTTTTGTTGAACGCAAAACCCAATATTAATCTAAAACAGTGATGATAATATTGTCTAAAAGCTCAAGGTGGTTTTTACAAAGTGTGTCACCTTCATGTGGAGCCAATTTTTTTTTTACGGAGTACTAAGCAGAGTGGCATAAATACATGGAACAGTACTAGCCAGTTCATGGCAATATCTCTTTGAGCTGTGTTTGGAAAGAGTTGAGAAGATTTTCATGCTTTATTTTAATTGTTTCTTCCCCGGGGGCCGTGTGGTATTATAACGCACGGCTCCGGGGAAGAAATAATTTGTTGTGGTTCAAGAGAGGGAAAAAAAGGGATGTTATATTTAGAGAATGCGATCGGGCAAAGATGCAGAATCATGAAGACATATCTAAAAGCTCCACACACCCACAACTGTTTTCATGGACCATACATCCATATTTGTTGTGAATGCTCTAGGCCAGGGATGTCAAAGTGGTTCTAGAAAGGGCAGGTGTGACTGCAGGTGTTACCGGCTTTCAACGTACATCGGACTGGCAACTGATTATATCCGTCGCATGCGAGTTGCTGGCCCCCACACATCGACAATCTGGCGAAAAAAGGCAACTCCTAGTATCAGGCCAGTCTCGGGAATAACAGCGCGTACATTGACAGCAACTGGCCTCAACTACAGTGTGTTTTCTGACATAAACTGTAGAGGGCGATCTCCGGATCTGAGGACAACTAGTTGCCGAACAGTAGAACACGGGCAACTGACTGAATCCGGAGATCGACTGTTCATCTCCAGTTGTAAAAGCGCTCACGTCGACCGATTTCGGCAACTGATCATCTCCCATCAACTACTCTCAGTTGCCAAAAGCCGCCTTGCGACCAGTTGTCTCCAGTTACTCTGTCGATGTACGCTAGGCTTTAGGTTGGAGCTAATGTCACAAGTGTAAAAACAGGTTCTTCGGACCCGGATTTAAAAAGGACCACTGGATTAAAAGCGAATTAAAAGCAATTTATTATAAAATACATTAAAAACAAGTAAATAAAAGCAATAAAAACCTAAGCTAAAAAAAGTGCTAAAAAGCTAAAACAGAGGCTAAAACAGGCTAAAATGCGTCCCCACGGCCTGGGCCGCCAGACCACGGGGCTCTCACCCGCCGCGCCTGGCTCCCGTGTCTGGCTCCCTCTCCGTTTTTCCTCCTGCCCCCTCCCCATCTCCTTTTGTACCGTGGCACAGGTGTTCTAATTGTCACGTGGGGAGCCGGGGTGCTTCAGGTGGTGCAAGTTAAAATCAATATTAAAAACACACACACACGACATGCATAAAATATAAATAAACCATATTAAAACCCACCACCCATTTTGCACCCCTTGACACTCCCCCCTGCTTTAATAATAGCAGTCCCTGCTAGTTCGTGAACACCTGTGCCTTTCCATCGCTTGGGAGAGGGGGTTCACCTCCGCAGCGCGCCTCCTCCGCCGTGCCTTGCTTTTTGTCCGCTGCGCCCCCGGGTGAGCCGCGTCCTCCTGTGCGGGACCACTCGTGCATCCCTCGTCCTCTTGCTGCTGCTGACCGGGCCCACCTGCACCACACACACCAGAGGCCAGCACAAACCCACACACCCGCAACCCTCGGACCGTAAGCCTTCGACGAGCACCACTACACCACATGCTCATACTCACAGGCCAGGCAGACCTCCAAGTCTGCCCCTATCTGTATCATGCGTCGTGGTGCTCTCACTCTAGGTCGCGGATGTGGCGCTCCTCTCCTGCGCGCTGCGTGGATCTAGGGTGGCCCACCCGGCTCCCAGCTCGCAGTCCAGCTCTTGTTGTGCGCCCTGTCCTCCGCGCCTTTCCATGCGCCATGCACCCTTAATTCCTTTGGGCATCCACCGAGCAAGAGCCATGGCCTCTACTTGCTTTTTTTTTTTCTTAAAACAGTGGTACCGGATCCTGCCAGCAACGCCAAAATGTCGTGGTACCGAGCCTTAGCTGGTGGTAATTTGGAGTAACTTCTAAATGAGAGTAGTGGTTGCAACAACGCCACCCTATTTTTAGTTATAGGGAACTTTTCCTCAAGGCACACAGGTAAGTAATAGGACAGGCCAAGGTTCCATTTAAAGTACCTTCAGTTTATTTTTAGACATTGGTAAAACAAAATTAAGAACTTGCAATTTGAAGATACTAATTTAAAATACTAGCTCCCACTGCACCACGACCGCTCCGTTCAGCAGCCCTCCGTGTCTGACAGACAAGAATCGGGGGGGGTTGCGATGTTTAAAGCTTGGCTCCAAGTGAGCCAAGCGCGCAGAGCGCGGCTGGAGCACCGACCGCTGGATGGAAGCGGGGCCACAGAGGAGGTGGGGGCAGAACGGGTCAGAGGGAAGTAGCAGCACAAAACAAAAACACAATGTTACAGTGAATGGAAACGGGGATGGTAAAACAGGGGGGGGAGCAAAGCAGCAGAGGAGACGTGTCCCAACGCTGCAGACCGCCGCTGACACCTGGGAATTAATAATAATAATTAATCTGCTATTAAATGTGGTAGGTGTGACTGAGGCGCGCACCTACCGCTGTGATAGACTGGAGAGCGCACACAGAAAGTTACGTACTGTACAAGCAAATGTAGCAGGGGGGCGGGGCAGGGCACGGGCTGGCCCAAGCCGCGGACACCAGCTGCCAATCCTGCCAGCAGCACTATGAGGAGACAGCGGGATTTAAAGGCTGTCTTAATCAATAAATAAATTAAATTATACCTGTTGCCCCAATTGAACGGACACAGTGATGCCCAACAATGCCCAGCACAGACAAGGCCAATCACCATCGGGGACTAGGAGAGCAGTAGTTAGATTTTTGTGAATGAATGAATGGGGAGAGGAGTATTACCAGTCACAGCAGATGAGGCAGCATGCCCCGGGCGCGACACACAAAATCAAGCCGTGCAAACAGGCGGTGTGAGGCTGCAGACATACAGCAGCGCTAAAAGGACAATATTGTAAGAAATGGGGAGATGTATGCAATTTGGAGCCACGCATTTGGGACTTTACCTAGGACTGGAGAGGAGCAGAGTCACACGGCCCAGTGGGAAGTGCGGGACCTGGTCATGCCACACTAACACTATTATTATGTCTAAATTACAAATGTAACAAAATACTTCCGATTACCAAAGGAGCTGGAGACTAAAATGCAGGACCAGGAGATGCACCTGAAGAAAGGTAATTATGAGCTGGAGGAAAAATTGCTCAGGCTTCTGAGAGAGATGGAAGAGTTTAGAGAGAACTTTGTCCTGAAAAACTCTGTTTTGCAGAAATGGAGGAGGAGATGAGCAAATTGAAGGCTCAGAAGGCTGAAACAGAAAAGCTGAAGGAGCAGGTGACACAGCTGCAAACACAGAAATCTGCTCTGGAGAAGGACTGCTTGGATTCCACCACTTACATCCAGCACCAACTCAAAACCACCGTCCAGGAGAAAACCAGTCTTCAACTTTCTCTGCAAAAAACCACCGCAGAGTTGCAGACGTCAAAGGGTGCGGTGCGGGAACTGAAAGAGGCTTGTGCCAGGTGTGAGGACAGGAACAAGGAGGTCACCAACTTCTCCAAGATCCTGAAGGAGGAGAACAAGGGCTTGTCCGAAGCAATGGAGTCCGTAAAGCAGACTCTGAAGGAGGAGAAACAAGCCTTGTCCACAGAACTGCAGTCCATAAAAACAACTCTGAGGACTGTGGAGAAGCGGGCTGAAGATGACGGGAAACGGAAGGACTCCCTCCTGAACGGTATGGACACAGATCTCTAAAACGTTGAAGAAGAAAACATGAACACATTTGAAGTAATGAACTTTTGTCTCCTAGATGCTGGCTTTTTTATTGATGAGCTGAACACCAAAATGCAGGACCAGGAGATGCACCTGAGGAAAGGTAATTATGAGCTGGAGGAAACAAACTGCTCAGATGGAGGAGTTTAGAGAGAACTTTGTCCTGAAAAACTCTGTTTTTGCAGAAATGGAAGAGCGGGTGAGCAAATTCCAGGAGATAATAAAAGAGGCCGTCGACGAGAACCTAAGCCTGAAATATGAACTGAACTTGCTGAAGAAGAATCCGTCGAAGCAGCAGACCCAGGACCCTCAGGAGGGCCTCGCTCCACACTATCCTCAGCAGATGCAGAGACGCAGTCGTCAAAAGACAGACGTCTACAGACGGGTCTGTTATGGTCCCAAGAACTAAGACTAAGTTCTGAATTAACTACCCCTCCCCTTACCCCCCCCCCCCTCCCCCTAAACCTTCCCTCGACCCTTTTCACAACAAACGGAACATTGGATCCTGACTCACATCCCTCACAGAGTCACAGTGACTGGAGTTAAACCTCCACATGCTCCAAGTATTTAATACTCATGAATATTGTGTCCGTTTGGTCATGAAGCTAACGGCTAACAGCTAGTGCTCGCTGCCTCTGATGGCAAAGAGTAATGTCAGTGATTAGAGACCGCTCTAAGACCAGGCGCCACAGTGGGACAACTGCGGCTGTAAAGTGCCACACTGTCGTTGTGTTCTTTAGCAAGACACTTCACCCACAAGTATGAATGGGTGTGTGTGTATGTGGTGGTTAGAGGGGCTGACTCAGGTTTTCAGCCTCCATAGTCTGTCCCAGGGCAGCTATGGCTACAGTAGTAGCTGATGTACCACCATGAATGGTATGAATGAATTGCGGTTTTGTTTTGATGATAATAATACTTGACAGCGTTAATGCAATATGTTTTATCTGTTTCACCCTGACCCCTCTGGCGCCATCTAGAGGATCTGCTAGACAAAACGTAGACTCAATGACCGAATGTATAAACTGAAAGATCTTAGGTTTAAACGCAGCGGACTCCAGAGCTGACAACCTGTGCTCATGAAGGAACCAGTGTGTGCAGTGTCCAAATGTGAAAAGGGTCCATCCCCCCTTCCCTCCCTTCCCTCCCCGCAACAAAAAAAGTAATTAAAAAATATATAAATAAACAACTGTAGCTGAACCAACAAGCTCATTTTTTCAATTAAATTACGGCTTTTAATAAAGCTCAGAAAATACTGTCTACTACAGAAAGACAGAATGTGAATAATTGTAATGAAGAAATACAGTATGTACACTAACCTTACACAGACTCACCTTAAGGGCAAGGGTGAGAATTGGGACGGGGCCTTAATATCTCACTCAGACCTGATGTGTGTGTTGTAGGTCCTTATATGTCACTCAGACCGGTCAAGGTCCTCATATGTGGCAATAAAATCATGCGGGAAAATAGTTTCTTGTAACCAAAATATCAACAGCTAGCTGTGTCACTGATCACACACCGCTCCCCCCTATGTGATCCTCAGGTCTCTGGGACCTTCAGAAAGGCACGTCCTGATATGTCACAGTGCAGGCATAGGTCCTCATTTGTCACGCAAACGCGGATGTGTGTGTGTGTGCTTGTGTGTGTCGGTCGGTGTGTGCGTGTGTGTGTGTTTGTGTGTATAGGTGTGTGTGTGTGTGTGTGTGTGTGTATGTGTGTGTGTGTGTGTGTCTGTGTGTGTAATGTGATCCGGACACAAAACCGTCTCCAGGCAACAGCGTCCTGGCTTCCTGATGCCTCACCGCAGCAGGAGAGTCTGACCTTACCCCAAGACACACCACAGACCACGAAGACCTTGAGGACCGCGTGAGACCGGATCACAGCAAGACCAAGGACCCAAGATGGCTGCCGCGGCGGACCCCTGCAGAGCCCTGTCCTCAGACCTGTCAGTTATCAGTCGCCTCCTCCACAGGTCGCAGCAGGGACGCAGCAGGTGAGGGCTAACCTGCAGACGCTTTATGCTAACGCTCTCTTCTTTGTTTCATGACTTTATTCAAAAACAATAACACTGCAATTATGATATTTTATATACTTTGTTTATTTTATTAACTTTGTTTATTATATATCTGTGTTTGTCCAGGACTGACGCAGTAGATCCAGGACTGAGGCTGTAGATCCAGGACTGAGGCTGTAGATCCAGGACTGAGGCTGTAGATCCAGGACTGAGGCTGTAGACCCAGGACTGAGGGTGTAGATCCAGGACTGAGGCTGTAGATCCAGGACTGAGGCTGTAGATCCAGGACTGAGGCTGTAGATCCAGGACTGAGGCTGTAGATCCAGGACTGAGGCTGTAGATCCAGGACTGAGGCTGTAGACCCAGGACTGAGGGTGTAGATCCAGGACTGAGGCTGTAGATCCAGGACTGAGGCTGTGGATCCAGGACTGAGGTTGCTGATCCAGGACTGAGGCTGTGGATCCAGGACTGAGGCTGTAGATCCAGGACTGAGGCTGTAGATCCAGGACTGAGGCTGTGGATCCAGGACTATTGATGCACATATAGAACCCTTACCTCAGCCAGTTTCTCCTCCCACCCACAGAGACCGGCCCTCCGTGCTCCCGGTGCGGGCTCCTCAGCGCTGTGACGTCTCGCTCCTGGACCCCTGCTGTGGTCACCTCAGCCCAGGCTCCGATCTGAAGCTCCGCCCCTTCATCGCTCTCCCACATGTGACCTCTGACCTGTGGGTTCCTCCAGGACTGAGGCAGCGAGGCCGGACCGCTCTGCCCAGGACCGTGAGCCTCAGCCTGGACACGGCTCCGGAGAAGTCCTGGAACTCACGCAGGGAGCACCACGCCGCGCTCAGGGCTCGGGTCTACGGTCTGTGGATTAAATTAAAGCTCGGGTATCTAACTTTCCAACCACACAAGAATGACTAAGTTTTCATGTGTGTTTTTGGTCTCTCTGGTCTCTCTCTGGTCCCACTCTAGTCTCTTTCTCTGGTCTCTCTCAGTTTGCTTTGATGTCTAGTTTTTGCTTCTATTTCTGGCTCCAACTCATTCATGCTCCTGTTGACTCACATGTAACCATAAACTCCTCCTGCTTTGCTTCACATTGACCTTTTTGGGCTTAAAGAAGACGTGGGATTCTACTTTTTATGTTTTGGATATTGTCTTTGTAAATCCAGATGTGAGCCATATAAGGATTGACCAAGCAGATGCCTTCATTCATGGGAGAAACTCCAGCTTGCCTTAGCAACCGTCTTAGCAACACATCTGCCCCTGTTATGGCTAATGTTGTCAGAACAAATATAAGGCATTGCGAAGTATCTGAAACATGCACAACACCTCTGCTGAATACACGAAGAGCGAGGCAGCGGCTCTACTCCGAGCTCCTCCCATACGATTATATAATGTATTGTACTCAATGTGTGTCTGTGTGGATGACTTTCAGCTGATCCCGATGCAGACCCGCCTCGACACGTGGCCCAGGCTCTGTCCAGTGGAGTCTCTCTCAGAGCAGAACCACAGGTAATGGACGGGCAAGTTTATCTGTATAGCACCGTTCATCCAAAAGGCAACTCAAAGTGCTGAACAGAGCAAGATCACAATCACACAAGGCGTTAGAATCATAACAAATCACTGGACATTAAAAAGTTAAGATAGAATCATCCATTTGTAGCTAAACAGATCTCGATTTGAACAATGTCAGAGGAGTCCCTGTGCTCCTCAGAGTCCCAGCAGGAGGCCAGTCCCTGTGCTCCTCAGAGTCCCAGCAGGAGGCCAGTCCCTGTGCTCCTCAGAGTCCCAGCAGGAGGCCAGTCCCTGTGCTCCTCAGAGTCCCAGCAGGAGGCCAGTCCCTGTGCTCCTCAGAGTCCCAGCAGGAGGCCAGTCCCTGTGCTCCTCAGAGTCCCAGCAGGAGGCCAGTCCCTGTGCTCCTCAGAGTCCCAGCAAGAAGGCAGTCCCTGTGCTCCTCAGAGTCCCAGCAAGACTAATGTGATGGTACTTCCTGGTTCTAGTCAGTTCTAGTCAGCCATGTTTATTTAGATAGCACCTTTTACAGACCAGAGTCACAAAGCACTTTACAAATGTTGGTTTATTTTAGTTTTTTAGTTTTTCATCGCACAAACCGCTCCCTCGTCCTCCGTGATCTACAGCTCTGCCCCGTCCTGTTGTGACATGTACGAGCCACGGTAACACATGTTTATCATAATTGCCGCGGCCGCCGGAGCATGTGTCGGCCTTTTCCACATGGTTACTCGCCGCCATCAATTCGCCGTTATCGCCGTCCGTGATGAGGCAGCTCCTTCCTGACACGTTTACGCCTCCTGTAATTGAAGCGAGTCACGTCTGAAGGATCCGGGAGCCGCCGCGGAGCCGTGTTTAACATGGGAAGGGCGGCGTGCGCGGTTAGCTTGAGCGCACTAGTGTAATGAGCCGCTAACGACCTGATGCTGCTGTTTGTGTTGTCGGGATTGTGTTTCCACTTCAGCCTCAGATCTGTGAGGAGGAGGTGGACCGAAGGGGAAGAGAGAGGCTCCTGACGGTGAAGTGGGGGTTGAAGGAGGACAAGGTTCGAGAGGTGTTTATCAGACGCATTTTAAAACCGTGTTATTGTTCCCGCTTCATGAACAAATCGTTGTGTTTAGCCCTTTCCCACTCCTTCTGTCATAATATTCTCTATTCAAGTGTTTTGGTATAGCATAGTTCATACACAAGGGAACTCAAAGTGCTGAACAAAACCAGATAGAAACAAAAAACAAAGGGCATTAAAAGAGTGAATTGTCAGAGAAGAAGCTTGTCTCACATTTTCAGGAAGGCTGATTTTAGCTGTATGAATCTGAAACGCTGCCTCCTCATGACCTAATCATGAGGAGGCAGCGTTTCAGATTCTCTGGGCACAAGCAGGAGGCCAGTCCCTGTGCTCCTCAGAGTCCCAGCAGGAGGCCAGTACCTGTGCTCCTCAGAGTCCCAGCAGGAGGCCAGTCCCTGTGCTCCTCAGAGTCCCAGCAGGAGACCAGTCCCTGTGCTCCTCAGAGTCCCAGCAGGAGGCCAGTACCTGTGCTCCTCAGAGTCCCAGCAGGAGGCCAGTCCCTGTGCTTCATATCTCTCTAACATGTCCCAGTTAGACTTTGGTACAAGGCCATGGACGCCTCTCTGGGGAGGTGTTTTGGGAGGAGACCAGGAGGAGACCCAGGACACAGAGGGACTGTGTCTCTCTGTGTCCTGGGAACGCCTCAGGATTCCCCCTGATGAGCAGGAGGAAGAGTGTGTAGAGGGAAGTCTGGACGTCTCTGCTCTGACTGCTGCCCCTGCGACCCAGCAACGGATAAAGCGACAGAAAATGTACTGTAAATGAACTGTGTCACATCATAACGTAATCTCCTAGTAAAATAGTTTATACGCATATTTTCATGCAACTACTGAGTGGCACAGTGGTTAGTAGCTTCGACTCCACCTCCAGGCCTTTCTGAGTGGAGTTTGCATGTTCTCCCTGTGTCTGCTGCGGGTTCTATAAAGAGACAAATGGCCACAACAATTACTAAGCCCTTTGTGACTCTGGTTTGTAAAAGGCTCTATATGAATCAAGATGACTTACTTTGTACTCACTCATTCTAACCCACGCACATCCTAAAAGCTGAAATCTATTCTCAGGACAGACGCGTTTATGGAATCGTTACAGATCGAGATTAGATTATGAACTTGTTTCTCGCTGTTCTCGTTACGTTTCCCCGTGCTCCAGTTTCTGCGGCTGTTGTTGTGTTGGTGTACGGTCTGAGGGTTTCTCTCGTCTGCAGGAGCCGTCCTCTGCAGAGTGGGTTTCTGCTGCTATTCGACATTTCACCTACACTTCAGCGACGCAGAGGTGAGAGAGCGGAGGGCACGGTTTTAAAGCTGAGGTTCTGGACTTTCACCCAGAATTCATGCAACTAGTTACTCGCCGTCAAAATAATGTTATGTTTAACATGTACAGTGTGTATCTCTGGTCTCTCTCTCTGGTCTCTCACTTGTCCCTCTCTGTTTGCTCACTTGTCTTTCTCTCTGGTCTCTCTCTCTGGTCACGCTCTCTAGTATCTCTCTCTCTATTAGGTCTCTCTTTGGTCACTCTCTCTTTCTAGTCTCTTGCTCTAGTTAATCTCTTTGGTCTCTCTCGGATATTTCTCTATGGTCACTCTGAGGTCTCTCTCTCTGCTTTCTCTCTGGTCTCTTTCTGGTCTCTCTCTGGTCTCTCTCTGGTCTCTCTGGTCTCTCTCTGGTCTCTCTCTGGTCTCTCTGGTCTTTCTCTGGTCTCTCTGGTCTCTCTAGTCTCTCTCTGCTCACTCTCTGGTCTCTCTCTGCTCACTCTCTGGTCTCTCTCTGGTCTCTCTCTGGTCTCTCTCTGGTCTCTCTCTGGTCTCTCTCTGGTCTCTCTCTGGTCTCTCTCTGGTCTCTCTCTGGTCTCTCTCTGGTCTCTCTCTGGTCTCTCTCTGCTCTCTCTCTGCTCTCTCTCTGCTCTCTCTGCTCTCTCTCTCTGCAAAGAGGCTGAGTGGATAGCACTCTTGCCTCTCAGCAACAAGGTCCTGGGTTCGAATCCCGGTCGGACCACGGCCTTTCTGAGTGGAGTTTGCATGTTCTCCCGTGTCTGCGTAGGTTTTCTCCGAGTACTCCTGTTTCCCTTACCACTAAAAATATGTACAATAGGTCTGTCATGCGCCTCCTGTACTGGCGACAAATGCCCAAAAATAACGGTTGTAAACCGCTTTGAGGCTCAGATCTGCAGTGAAAAAGGCGGTATATAAATAAAGATTACTACTTCTCTGATCTCTCCCTGGTCTCCCTCTGCTCTCTCTTGCTTCAATCACTAGTTTACACTTGCATATGTTTGCCCACTCCTCAAGCAAATCAGCTCAAAGAGTCAAATCGAGACTCACAGGGCTCTTTCTTTCACAGAAGATACCATGATTTCTAATAATCATCAAACAACAACAAAACAAACTAAAATCTAGTAGAATAATAGTGAGAATCTTGATATGATGAAAGAGAGAGATCCTCACAGGCAGACCATCACTGACCCCACTGCTATTGGAAAAACCATGTCGCTCTGCTGCCCTCTGCTGGACATTTGATTAAAATGAAGAGATCCTTTAATTGTCCCACAGAGGGGAAATGTCAGTGTTGTTTCACTGATTACAGACGTGAACAATAACTCTATACTAAAATAAAATACAATATCTACCTTAAGTGTCAAAAAGAAGCAAGTACAAAATCTCTAGCTTTAGCCTAAAAAAGGAACTAAAAATTCTCTAGCTTTAGCAGAATAAAGAAGCAAGTATAAAATCTCTGACGCATTGGGGAAAAAAGCAGAGGAGGAAATATTCCACCAATAAGCTTTTAAATAATGATGGCAAAAGTCTACTTTGAAGGCAATAATACAAAATTAAATTATCATGTGGGATCCCCGGTTGTTGCCATAAACGTACAGTAGATTTATTTGAAGAGAAAGGGCCGAGTGTGACATCACCCTGGTGTTAGCCGCCCTTAATGCAGAAGTGACTGATGCAATCATGAACTAGCTGGAACCAATTTCCTTATATGGGCATTTGTTCTGACGGCGTTAGCTTTGCCCCATAACACAGCCAGACGAGTTGCTAAGTTTGAGTGTCCGCCAAGAATGAAGCCATCTGATTGGTCAATTCTTATATGGCTCATACTTGGATTTACAAACACAATGTCAAACCACAGATTATTTAAGCCCAAAATTGTGAGTTTGACCCCAACGGAACAGTTTGCCTTTCCATGTAAGTCAATATGCAGAGTGTTGGAGCAAAACTTCATCCATGAGCACTTCCCTATAGGCGTTTATTGAGCTAGCATGGTTAGCATCGTCCATCTGTATAAAGTCTGTGGTGGCTGTATGGGTTAAGGAGTTGTTTTTAGATGCGTACTAAAATGATTCTGATTCTGATACTATTGACTTTTGCAGGAGTTACGAGGAGGTGAACTGGGATGGGAAGTTGCCACGGCGACTGAAGGCTCCAGAAAGCACCTTAGAAATGGCGGCCGACGCGGTGAGAGTCCCGTCGACCAGAAGATACCATGAGAGGCCCCAGCGCTGGCAGGTGACCGTCCTCTGGTTTGAGGGTTAACTGTGGTACAGTCTATGTCAAGGATATCCAAAGTAGGTTGGTGTCTCTCTGGTCTCTCTCTGGTGTCTCTTTTTATAATCTCTGGTCTCTCTTCGGTTTCTCGCTGGTCCCTCTCTCTGGTCTCTCTCTCTGGTCTCTTTCTGGTCTCTTTCTGGTCTCTCTCTGGTCTCTCTCTGGTCTTTCTCTGGTCTCTCTCTCTGGTCTCTCTCTCTGGTCTCTTTCTGGTCTCTCTCTGGTCTCTCTCTGGTCTTTCTCTGGTCTCTCTATGGTCTCTCTCTGGTCTCTCTCTCTGGTCTCTCCCTGGTCACTCTCTGGTCTCTCCCTGGTCACTCTCTGGTCTCTCCCTGGTCACTCTCTGGTCTCTCTCTGGTCTCTCTCTCTGGTCTCTCTCTGGTCTCTCTCTGGTCTCTCTCTGATCGTTCTCTGGTCTCTCTCTGGTCTCTCTCTGGTCTTTCTCTGGTCTCTCTATGGTCTCTCTATGGTCTCTCTCTGGTCTCTCTCTCTGGTCTCTTTCTGGTCTCTCTCTGGTCTCTCTCTGGTCTTTCTCTGGTCTCTCTCTGGTCTCTCTCTCTGGTCTCTTTCTGGTATCTTTCTGGTCTCTCTCTGGTCTCTCTCTGGTCTTTCTCTGGTCTCTCTCTGGTCTCTCTCTGGTCTCTCTCTGGTCTCTCTCTCTGGTCTCTCTCTGGTCTCTCTCTGGTCTCTCTCAGGTCTCTCTCTCTGGTCTCTTTCTGGTCTCTCTCTGGTCTCTCTCTGGTCTCTCTCTCTGGTCTCTCTCTGGTCTCTCTCTGGTCTCTCTCTGGTCTCTCTCTGGTCTCTCTCAGGCCTCTCCCTGGTTACTCTTTGGTCTCTCTCTCTCTGGTTTTCACTAAACTCAATGTATTTCATATAGAAAATACCTTAAAGAAACTGTATATAATCCAAATCCTAACAGTTGTGTTGTTGTTCCAGTCTGAGGGAGCGGAGTGGGACCAGCGGCAGCTCCGATCCCAGGAAGACGTCAGGAAACCCATCTCTTTGTGAGTTTGTGGATGAAGGATGACTGGATTTGGATTTTGTTTTTAAATTTGACTTGTATGTTTATTATTTTTATCTGTATGTTTTAAATGTGAAGCGCTTTGTGATCTTGTGAAAGGCGCTATACAAACAAACTTACTTTCTTACTTGTGGATGAATGAGTCTCCTCCTGCTGCTGTTTGACCGAGTGTCATCTGTAAACTGTGCTGTTAAAGCCTTGTGTTTCCTCCTGCTCCAGCTGCAGTGGATGTCCCCGCTCTGGACAGATCCCCAACTACACGTGAGACCAAACCAGACCAGACCAGACCAGACTAATCCAGACCAGACCAGACCACTCAGATGCTTGTGTCTACAGAGGGGTGGTCGGTTCCACTCGGCCTCAGGACATTGACGATGCAGACAGAGGTTTCTCTCCTCTGACCATGAGGAGGAGTCAGCAGCCTCCGTACACCCCCACAGCACGGTGAGGCACAACCAGGCCAAACCAGGCACAACCAGGCCAAACCAGGCACAACCAGGCCAAACCTGATCTTTGCTTTTTAATGTGAAATAATGTATTAAACAGAAAATGTGGTGTTAGATATTGTATATGGATTAGAAAGTACAACACCCCAATTATGTCTTGGAAAAAGATACTGAAGTTAAAAATTGAGAGATGGTTTATTTCTCCCACTCTGGGGAAATGTCAGAGTTGCATCATAACAGAACAGAAGGAGTGAAAATTAAGAAGCAAGAATAAAATCGCTATCTATCTCTAACTGTAGCAAAATAAAGAAGCAAGTATAAATTAGCTTGGACTGAATAACCTTGTTTTGCTCATTCGTTTTGGGTTCTCCTGGATGCCCCGCAGTCGGACCACGATCCCTGGTTACACTGGGAGAGGAGTGTACGCAGACTCTGGTCCAGTAGAAACCCCAGACCACTATGACCCCGCACAGAACATGAGGTATGTGCATTTAAACTCAGTCAGTACAAAGCTGTGGGGAGATTGTGTTGTAGTTTTTAAAGCGGCCACTAGAGGGCGCGCGTGTGCATGAAACCAACACGTTTGGAACCAACAGTGAGCTCGGAGTTTGTCAGTTCAATTCAATTCAATTCAATGTATTTGTGTATTGCCCTAAGTCACTGGGGAGTTTACAAAGTTGTCGATTCCTCAACAGGAGATCAGAGAATCAAACCAATCAAACTGAAGAAATGCCATGATAACAAACACATATGGAGCCATTGGTCCAGGACTGAGGCTGTAGATCCAGGACTGAGGCTGTAGATCCAGGACTGAGGCTGTAGATCCAGGACTGAGGCTGTAGATCCAGGACTGAGGCTGTAGATCCAGGACTGAGGCTGTAGACCCAGGACTGAGGCTGTAGATCCAAGACTGAGGCTATAGATCCAGGACTGAGGCTGTAGACCCAGGACTGAGGCTGTAGACCCAGGACTGAGGCTGTAGACCCAGGACTGAGGCTGTAGACCCAGGACTGAGGCTGTAGACCCAGGAGGCTGTAGAGGCTTTCAGGCGTGACAGAGGTTCACAAATTATTGTTATTATGAATTATTATAATTGTTAATTAAAGCCCAGCACCCGCCTCACTGTGGCACCTGCTGTTCCCAGAGGTCTCCCATCACAGCTCTAACCAGGCCCTGCCCTGCGTAGCTCCTGAAATCAGGCTTTAATGAATCAGGCCTTCTGCATTTTCAAACAAAAATATTGCCTCCATGTCATATATCATTCTGATAAAGACCTGGGTGGAAGTACATTATTTTTAAACCAGCCTTTATAAACAGTGGACAGAATCAAAAACAGATAAAAGTGAGATTTGAATACTTAGTTTATACAAATATTTGTAATTATTATAATAAAAATAATTACTATTATTATTGTTATTGTTTTTGTTATTATTATTATTATTATCGTTATTATTATTATTGTTCTCATTTTATTTTTAATTTCACCTTCTACAACACGACACGGCAATGTCAAGTCTCATTATAAAATATTATGAACCAGAGATGATTAAAATGTGTGGTTTGAGTGAGTTTTAGAGGCGCACAGAGACAAGCCTCAGCTCCTGTCTCTCCTCCTCCTCTTCCTCCTCCTCCTCCTCCTCCTCCTCCTCCTCCTCCTCCTCCTCTTCCTCCTCCTCGTCCTCTGCTTCCTCTGTTTTCCTCCTCACACAAACCACAAAGTCTGGAGAGCAACCGTCACCTCCAACCGTCCAACTGTGGATCTCACATAACAGCAGGCTCAGGCTAACGACAGCACAAGTTAAAGCTGAGGAACCTGACTTTCAAACATCAAAATATATACGAAAATCATCTCGTTCTTTGCTCTTAGTTCCTCCTATCACTAATATTTGTTGTCCTTGTCACTGCTTTAAAATGACTTTTTCAGACAGAAAGGTTCAAAGAGGGGACCAGTCCCACTCGGCCAATCAGCTCTCAGCTCAAAGGGTCAAATAGTGACTCACAGGGATCTTCCTTACACTAAAGATCGCATGATTTCTGATGAAAAAGACAATGTGATCTGGTCGGATTTTTTTTCACAATTTTTTTCTTTTTCAAGACATGTATTATTTATTAAGAGAAATTAGTGAGGTACTCCATCTTGAACTGCATTTAATTCGGAACCAGGAAGTACCATCACATTAGTCCTGGTCTCGGGTCTCTGCACCTGTGGCTCAGAGAATAGACTTTATGAGGAGCACAGGGACTGGCCTCCTGCTGGGACTTTGAGGAGCACAGGGACTGGCCTCCTGCTGGGACTCTGAGGAGCACAGGGACTGGCCTCCTGCTGGGACTCTGAGGAGCACAGGGACTAGCCTCCTGCTGGGACTCTGAGGAGCACAGGGACTGGCCTCCTGCTGGGACTCTGAGGAGCACAGGGACTGGCCTCCTGCTGGGACTCTGAGGAGCACAGGGACTAGCCTCCTGCTGGTGCCCAAAGGCCGGACTAAACATGTGGAGGCAGTATTTCAGATTTATGCAGCCAAAATCTGTCTTCCTGAAAATGTGAGCCAGGATTCTTCTCTGACAACATTTAAATCCAGGTTAAAAAACAGTTTGGTTTATCTGCACTAACTGAAGCATGCATATAGATCTAGTGTCGACTGCATAGTTATGATAGGAAACTATGTTTCTGCGTATTAACTGACTCTAACGGCAGCATGTAGAGATGAACAGAATAGGACCCAGGATCGACCCTGTCGGACTCCACAGGTCCAGGGCCATATGATCTGAGACACAGGTTCCAATCTCCACAAAGTTACTGTCCTGTCCTCAAGGATAAGACCTAAACCACCTTAGGCGTCAGCGACTCAACCCAGCCTTAAATCTCTGTAAGAGAATCTCATGGTCGACGGTGTCAACGGCAGCACTTAGATCTAACCAGAATTAGATATGAGACTTTGCCTTCTCATTGATCAGCCGATATCGTTTGTAACCTTGACAGAGCAGTCTCAGTGCTGTGGTGGGTCTAAAGCCGGACTGAAACATATCACATGCGTCGCTTGATTATAAAAATCTAGTAAGCATGAAGGTAGACAACTTTTTTCAAGGACTTTCCTCCCATAAATGGCAGATATGAGTAGGACGAAAGTTGTTAAGTACCGTAGCAATCGAGACTGCACTTTTTAGCAGGGGCCCCTGATGACTGCAGTTTTTCAGGCCTTTGGGAAAATTCCAGAATAAGGGACATGTTTACATCTGTGTGAGTGAAGTAAAAGACTGCATCAGAAACAGACTTCAGAAATCTATGGTAGTACATCCAAGCTGCATGTGGAGGAAGCTCAAACTGGAGATTATCTCTTGGACAGTTTTATCATTTACAGGTGCAAAGTGAGTTAGCTCAAGAGCCTTTCCTGGCGGTTTGATGTTATCCTGTGGATTGGAGACAATGGCGTTGTTATGCCTAGAACTTGTCATTGAAAAAATTGCAAACTCATTGCATTTACGTTTGGAAGACGCTCTAATGGCATTGTGAACAGGGGGTATGTTAATCTAATAACTGTAAAAACAGACACGCAGATTGTTGCTGCAGCCTTCAATCAAGTCAGAAAAATAACCTTTCTCTCGTACTACGTAAGCACCCGTTAAACTCGCACAATCTTATCTTGAAGATCTCGTATCAACGGGAGGTTGGACTTGCGCCACTTCCGCTCGTCCCGCCGGCACTTTCTCTTGCGCCCTGACCGAGTCTGCTTTACCACGCGCCTTCTGCTTATTTTCACATTTTAACCTTCACAGGCAACGAGGGGTAACCTAACATTCAAACACAAAGTGACAGAGTTAAACAGTTTCATCTACAGTAAAACGATGTCATTCTCAAAGTTTTATCATTCCATAAATAGTTCACTCGTATATTTCATTTATTGTCTTCTTCGTACAGTGCAGAGTCCACTGGTGTTTGTTATGAAAACCACTGTCAAAAAAAAACACAGAATGATCCAAAGAGCAACATCGACCACGTTTACATTGAAATATTCACCCCCTATAACTAACAGATCTAGAGGTGAGCCCTCATGCTGTTGGTGGGCCACTACGCGAGTGAGATCAAAGGATTCAAGTACAAGAACTCACTCATTTTGCATTCTGTCATCAACATTATCCACATGAATATTAAAATCACCTGTAATAACCAAACTAATCAAAATCTGTGCATACAACTGAAAGCAACTCGGAAAAATTAACAAATAAAACTGAGACAATGACTTCGAGTGGCTTGTATAGGACAACGAAAATATTGAGGAGATTGTTTTTGTTTGTTATTTTAAAAGACACATATACAAAAGACGAAAAACTTTCCCAAGGACATTCTATGGGAGACAAAGTGTCTCAAGACAAGGCAGCTAAGCCTCCTCCTTTTTGTTTTTTCCTAATTTAAGATTCAAACTGTAATTTTGTGTTGATCTTCTATTATCACTGATTTCCTGAATTTTGGACAAGCCTAGTTTGCAGCCATGAACATAAGATCAAATTATGAGAACAAATAAAATATTGATTAAAAAAGACAAGTTAAAAGAGATCTGACATTAAGCGTAGCAAAAGTTTTCAAAGTTCAGTATCACTTTGGTCGGCTGATTCTTACACTAACAAGAATTAGATTTTCCAGATTAGACTTATTACTCCAGAGTGTCATTCTGTAATGTAAATTCATTTTTGTTATCACTAAGAATGGGACAAGGTGGCTTCATGACAGAGCCCCAGCCGGGTCTCTCCCTAACGAGACTGCCAGTGGCTGGCGAAGCAGAGACCCGTGGCATCCTAGTGTTTAGAGAAAAGAGGGGAAGGGGAAGGCGGGGAGGAGGAATGGAGAGGAGGGTGGCTTTTGGGTGTTGAACGAGTGGCAGGGAGGTGGGAGGTTTTTGTGAGGGGTTAGCCGGGATGGGCTGAGGCAGAGGTTTTGGTGTTGAACGAGGGGGAAGTGGGGGGTGGGAATGGTCATAGTTAGGGAGAGGGACTGCTGAGGTGGTTTTTGTAGGTGTAATTGAAACCCTAGGTGGTTTTGGAGGTACATATGGGAGTTGGTTAGCATTGGGACAGGACACAAGATCTAGCTAATATGGGTGTAGTAAAAAAAAAGGAATAGTCTTCATCGCAGATTTTATTAGCCCTGCAGAGTGTTTCGGTAGGTCTAACATGAAGGCGGGATGAAAAACACAGGACGTGTCCCCAACTCTCTTGATGGAGTGGACTGGCAGGGGAACCCAAGACAGTCATGGGAGGTGGCAGGAGTCTTGATGGAGGGCAGGTGGTTGAGGAAACCCCAGCACAGGCCTGTCTGCAGTACCCTGGGGTGAGGAAGGGGCTTCAGAGCGCTGTAAAGAAGAAGGCGTGCTGCATTGGAGCAGCTGGATGAAGATGTTGGTGTGTGGTGTGTCGTGCTGCTGTTCTTCTACTGGTGATGATGCCAGCGCTCTGATGACAGTGGAGTGTTGAATCCTTTAGGCGTGTGGTGTTAGATCCTTCGAGGCTGTGGTGGTGTTGAGATCCTTCGAGGTGGTGGTGGTGTTGAGATCCCTCGAGGTGGTGGTGAGGTGTTGAGATCCTTTTGAGGTGGTGGTGGTGTTGAAGATCCTTCGAAGTGGTGAGTGTTGAGATCCAATCGAGGTGGTGGAGGGCTGGAGACTTTTAGAGTCGGCTTCCTCCTTTCGATTGCTAGCACGCGCCTCGCAGGCGAAGGTCCTCAGCAAAAGAAAGGTTATCCATCAACACTTTTACTCCGTTATTGTTCAATGTGCCCTTTCCCTTCAAAAAGCTCATGCTTCCAAACAGCTAAAATTTCCAATGAAGGCAAGTCCTCTGCGTGAACATTTCGTTGAGTAAAAGGAAAGAATTTAGGCTATACAGACGACTGAAATTCATTTGCTTCCCGTCCACATTGGTAGTGGTGCCACTGATAACATAAGTTTCGTCCATTATAGGCAAGGTCGTCCAATAAGAGAGAGTAATCCCGTTATCAACTTTTCACTTGTGTTGTCATATACTCTACTGCCCCCCACGTGATCAACAATCTTTTACCCGCCCGTCTCATACATAATCCACGGAGCCAGCCGCCTTATCACATCCACTTTGGCAAAGTGTAACTGATGAACCTTGAGATTACCATGTTTACGTTCTTATCGCCGATTCGCCGATAAAGAGCGACTCAGCTGCAATTGACCTTGACTGAGACTGAGACCTGGACTGAGAACTCACTGCTGATTCAGCTCCAAAAGTGGGGAAAAGCGGTTTTCTTGTAATAAAAGATTTTGCTGTGGCATTATGACACTCTTGTTATCATTAGCTTTTGGCCTGTTTGGGCTTGGCACCATAGTGTTTCCGAACAATTGTCCTCTGTTGAATTTGGAAATGAAATAGCGTCATCATAACTACGTTTGTTCCATTTGGACCTTTTCCCTTCACTGGTATGTTGTGTTCAGCCCCAATTCTGATTCAATCACAAACATCGTCTGAAAGAAGTTCCTCCTGTTTAGTGATAAACAGCCGTCGCAAAGTTTTGTTCTGTTTCCGTCCTTCAAAAATGCCGAAACATGCTAGTCCTGACATGCTGTACGTATCGGTAAATTCCACAATCTTGTGTTGAAGTTTGTAAAAAGGAGTAATCCGTGTTTTGTGGAATAAAAATGTAAGCAAAAATGATTAAAGGAGATAAAAAAGCAGCAAGCGAGGGAGGACAGCAAGAGAATGCACTGCTGTTCCAGAGGTCGCACACAACACCGGTCAGTGACATGTTGTGACATATGAACCGGCTCGGACTCTGAGAGCACAGGGACTGGCCCCTGCTGGTGCCAAGAGTGAAACCAAACATTGGGGAGGCACGTTTACAGATCCATGGCAGCTAATATCTGGAACAAACTCCCTGAAAATGTTGAGGGAGGCGTCTACTCTGACAATGTCAAATCCAGGTAAAGACAGTTCTGTTTGCCTGTGCAATACAACTGAATGTTTTATCAGCATTTCAAATGCACTGCTGTCATTTATTTATTTTATTATTTTTAATTTCTTTAATTTGTGAAAGTTTAATGGTTTTATTCTTTTGTGTGATATTAACGTTTTAATTGTGTTTTAATCCTTTGTGTGATTTAATGTTTTAATTGTGTTTTTTAATCTTTGTGTATTTATTAAGTGTTAATAGAGATTCTGGTTTTTGTTTATGTGAAGAGTTGTGATGTGGACTGTGAAGCGCTGTAGTGTTGCCTGTGTATGAACAGGCGCTCTACCAAATAAACTTTGATTGATGATTGATACTAGAAAAGACCACAGATAAAAACAGTATACACAAAAGATAACGTATATATTACTTGTTGTTAATACTTCATGGGTTTTATTCATCATAAACATTGACTATAACATTACCCACATTTATTATCTATTGCATGCAAGTTTCTGTAGGTGATAAAGTTATTGCTCTAATTCCTTGTTGCAACAACGTTGGCACAGCACAGGATTACTCTTGCAACAACACATCAGTAGAGTAAACTAACCGGCTCACCACGGTCTAAACCCAGTACAAGTTTCTTATTAGTGGAACAAAAATCCAATGGTGAATTCTGCTTCAGGAAGGAATCAACGTTAAAGGATCAAAATGATAAGAATAAGATAAGATTGCTTTATTATCTCACAGAAGGAGAAATACAAAAGCACAAGCCATTTATCCCCTGTGGTCACGATCTGACACTTCCTGCTACTTAACAACTTACTGAGCTTCGTCTGCTTCGAGCACTTTTTTCGCCAAACACAACCATGCAAAGCTGTAGTTTCAGTGTCCCTAATTCCGCAGCCTACTGTAAAAGCAAAATTATGTCGGTGCATTCTTTCACGTCTGTTGCGCGCCCGAGGAGATGTTTTGGGGAAGTGGATCTACCGCTGGTCGTATTCCCCAGTAGGCTTAGCGTTCACTGCCCACCAACTGCGAGTGCTAGAAACTACATTATTTCCTTTGTCGTGTAAACGCTGTAGCACTTGAATAAGGAGCCTGGCCGTTTTTGGCTAATTGCTTATTAGCAGCGAAGACCTAAGAATTCTTTAGACTGTTTGGGTTTTAAGTGCAGCAGGAAGTGTCAACAACTTTACCACAGGGATAACTGGCTGTGCTTGTATGTAAATTTCTCCTCTGTGAGATTAAATAAAGCAATCTTAAGCTTATCTTATCTCTTTTGAATCCTTGAACGATGATTCTCCTGAAGGCCAGAATTCACCATTGGATTTTAGTTACCACTAAAAGCAATCTGTACAGGTTAGTACCTGGTGAACCGGAAAGATTTAACAACTCTACTGATGTGTTGTTGCAGGAGTATCCAGTGCTGGTGCAAATTAGTTGCAACAAGGAATTAGAGCCAATAACTTTAGCATCACCTACAGAAACTTGCATGCACAAAGTAATAAATGTGGGTAATAGTTATATTCAAGTTTACGATGAATAAAACCAGGAAGTATTAAACAAACAAACAAGAATAAATACGATAATCATTTGAGTAATACGTTTTTTATACTGTGGTCATTTACAATATCAATCAATCAATCAAAGTTTATTTGTAAGCGCCTTCATACACAGGCAACACAAAGCGCTTCACAGTCCACAACACAAATCATCACATAAAACAAACATCCAGAATCACTATTAAAACAGTAAAATCACACAAAAGATTAAACACAATTAAAACATTAAAATCACAACAAAAGAATAAAACACAATTACAACTTTAAAATCACACAAACGAATCAAAACCATTAAAACTTTCAAATTACACAAGACATTAAAAATAAATAAATAAATAAAATGACACAAGTGCATTAGAAAAGCAGATAAAATCCTTCATTGTAATGCACAGGCAAACAGAACAGTCTAAACCTGGATTTAGCACATTGACAGAGTAGACACGCCTCCCTCACAATTCAGGGAGATTGTTCCAGATCTTAGCTGCCATGGATCGGAAACCCTGCCTCCCCATGTTGGTTTCTCACACTAGGCACCAGCATGAGCCAGTCCCTGGCTCCCTCAGAGTCCAGCCGGTCAATATGACAACCAACATGTCACTGACGTGTGTGTGCGACCTCTGGACAGAAGCAGTCGCATTCTCTTGCTGCCCACCTCGCTTGCTGCTTTTTTATCTCCTTTAATCATTTATGCTTACATTTTTATTCACAAAAACAACAAGGATTACTCCTTTTTTAAACAAACATCAACACAAGAATTGTGGAATTTACCTAACTTACCGCATGTCAGAGACGGGAAAACAGAACCAAACTTTGCGACGGCTGTTTTCACTCAAACAGGAGCTAAAACTTCTTCAAGACCGAATGTTTATGTGCTTGATCAGAATTGGGGCTGAACACACATTACAGTGAAGGGGAAATGGACCAAATGGACAAAACGTAAGGTTATGATACGCTATTTCATTTCCCAAAATCAACAGAGACAATTGTTGGAACTCATATTGTGCCATGCCCAAACAAGCAAAGCTAATGATAACAAGAGTGTCATAATGGCCACAGCAAAAATCTTTAATTACAAGAAGACCGCTAATTTTATATCCCCACTTTTTGTGAAGTTAATCAGCAAGTAGTCTCCTCATTCCAGTCTCAGTCCTCATCAAGGTCAAATGGCTGAGTTCGCTCTTTTAATCGGCGAATCGGCGATAAGACACGAAAACATGCGTAATCTCAAGTTTTCACCTCAGTACACTCTGCCAAAGTGGAATGAGATAAGGCGGCGGGCTCCGAGGCTTCTGTCTGAGACCGGCCTGGGTAAAAAAGATTGTTGAATCCACGTTTGGGGGAGAAGAACGTCTATGACAACACAATGAAAAGTTGAAACGAGGATACTCTCTTTATTGACGACCATGCTAAAATGGACGCATACTACTTAACTGTCCCACTACCAATGGGGACGAAGCAAATGAAATTTCATTCGTCTGTATCAAGCTAAATACTTTCCTACTCAACGAAAGTTCACGCGAGGACTTGCCTTCATTGAAATTTAAATCTGTTCTGAATAGGCATGATCATTTTTGAAGGGAAAGGGCCACATCTGAACACTTACGTAGAAAAGGTGATGGATAACCTTTCTTTTGCCCTGAGACCTCAGCCTGCGCAGCGCGTGCACCATCGAAAGGGAGGAAGCCGACTCTAAAAGTCCTCAGCACCTCCACCACCCTCGAAGGATCTCAACACCACCAACACATCGAAGGATCACAACAGACCACCACCTACCACAAATGAACTCAACACCAACCACCACCTCGCAGGATCTCCAACACCACCACCACCTCGAAGGATCTCAACACCACCACCACCTCTGAAGGATCTCAACACCATCACCGCCTCAAAGGATCTTCAACACCTCCACTGTCACAGAAGCAGCTGCATCATCACCCGTAGCAGAACCAGCAGCACGACCCATCCACCACCACCAACAGCTTCATCCCCAGCCTGCCTCCAAAGCAGCCACGAGAAACCTTCCATCTTCACAGCGCCTCTGAGCCCCCAAGCCTCTCCCCAGGTTACAGCAGACACGCCTGTGCTGGGGGTTTCTCAACCACCTGCCCCCCATCAAAGACTCCCCTCGCCACCCAATAAAAGCGCGGTCCCATGGACCTGTACTGGTCCCCCCTGCCACGTCCACTCCGAAATCAAGAGAGACTGGGGACTCGTCCCTTTGTTTTTCATACCCCGCCTTCACTGTTAGACCACCTGAACACTCTGCTGGGCTAATAAAATCGGACGATGAAAGACGAGATCCTCTCACTATCCCATATTAGCTAGATCTAGAGTCCCTGTCCACATGCTAAACCACTCCCCATATGTCCCAACCAAAACCCACCTAGGGTTTCCAAATCACCAACAAAAACCACCTCAGCCATCCTCACCCTAACCCATGACCATCATCCACCCCCACTTCCCCCTCGTTTCAACACCCAAAACCTCTGCCTCAGCCCCCCCCGGCCCTAACTCCCTCACGCAAAAACCCCCTCCACCACCTCCCTGCCCCCCCGTTCAACACACCCAAAAGCCACCACCTCACCTCCTCCTCCTCCCGCCTTCCCCTTCCCCTCTTTTCTCTAAAGACTAGATGCACAGGGTCTCTGCTTCGGCAGCCACAGCAGTCTAGTTAGAGGAAGACCGCGGCAGTGGCCCCTGTCATGAAGCCACCTGTCCCATCCCTAGTGATAACACCAAGAATACATTACAGAAAGACATCCCTGGAGTTTAATAAGTCTAATCTGGAAAATCTAATTCTTGTTCCGTGTAAGAATCACCGACCACAAACCGCAGAATACTGAAACTTTGAACTTGCTACGCTTAATGTCAGATCTCTTGTAACAAGTCTTTTGTTAATCAATAATTTTATGTTTCTCATAATCTTGATCTTATGTTCATGGCTGGAAACTTGCTTGACCAAAATTTCAGGAATGCAGTTTTAATAGAACATTCACAACGACCAAATTTCCAATTTGAATCTGAAATACCGGAAAACAAAAAAGGAGGAGGCTTAGCTGCCCTTTCAGAACCACTTTTGTCTCCATAGAATGTCCCTCTGGGAAGTATTCGTCTTTTGAATATGTGTCTATTAAAATACAGACAAAAACAATCTCCTATCCAATTACTCATTCGTTGTCCTAGAACAAGTCCCCGCAGTCAATGTCACAGTTTTTTACTTGATAATTTTACCGAGTGCTTTCAGTTGTAAGCACAGATTTTGATAGATTGGTTATTACAGTGTTTTAATATTCAATGTGATTCATTTGATGACGAGAAAGCAAATGAGCTGAGTCTGTACTTGAATCCTTTGATCTCACTCAGCACGTAAGTGGGCCCCACCCACACAGAGGGCACACTCTAGATCTGTTAGTATTACTAATGGTGTGAATATTTCAATGTAAACGTGGTCCGATGTGCTCTATCCGATCAATTTCATTTTTCTGTGTTTTTTTTGACATGTGTTTCACTAACAAACCACGCATTGACTCTGCAACTGACGAAGAAGACACAATAAAATGAAATAACGAGTGGACCTATTTATGGGAATGATAAACTTTGAGAAACATCGTATCTACTGTAGATTGACTGTTTTAACCTGTCACCTCTATGTTTTGGATGTTCTGGAACCCGAAGCCCCTTTGAAGGTAAAATATGAACAAAAAGCAGAAGGCGCCGTGGGCTAAAAGCATACTCGGTCAGGGCACAAAAGATAAGTGCCGGAGGGCCCGAGCGGCAGTGCGCAAGTCCAACCTCCAGGTTGATACGCAAGATCTTCAAAGAAAAGTTGTGCGATTTAACCGTGCTACGTAGTACGCAGAGAAAGGTATTTTCTGAAATGATGAAGGCTGCAGCAACAATCTGCGTGTGATGTTTACAACAGTTAATAGATTAACAAACCCCCCTGTTCAAAACCCATTAGAGCTTACTTCCAAACGTAAATGGCAATGAGTTGCGTATTTTGTTTCAATGACAAGGTTCAAGGCATCAAAAACGCCATTGTCTCCAATCCACAGATAACCATCCAACAGCCAGAAAGGCTCTCATGACTAACTCCTCACTTTGCACCTGTAAATGATAAAATGTCCCACGCGATAATCTCCAGTTGAGCTCCTCCACATGCAGAGCTTGGATGTACTACCCACTCGATTTTCTGAAGTCCTGATTCTGACAAGCTCGTTACCTATCACTCACACAGATAGTAAACATGTCCCTTCATTCTGGAAATATTCCCAAAGGACCCTGAAAACTGCAGTCGATCAGGCCCCTGCAAAAAAAGAGCAGTCCTCGAATGCAACGGTACTTAACAACTATCGTCCCATCTCAAATCTGGCCATTTATGGGGAAAGTCCTATGAAAAAGTTTGTCTACCTACAGCTACTAGATATCTATAATCAACCACTCATTTGATATGTTTTCAGTCCGCTTTAGACCCCACCACAGCACTGGAGAACTGCTCTCGTCAAGCTTACAAACGATATCCGGCTAACACTGACGCAGGCAAATCTCAATCTTAATCTTGTAAGATCATCAAGTGGCTCGCCTTTGACACCAGTCGACCATCGAATCCACTTTACAGAGATTAGAGGACTGTGGTAGAGTCGCTGGCACCGCCCTAAGTTGGTTTAGGTCTTTCACCATGAGGACAGGAATACTATGTGAGATGGAAACTGGTCCTCAGATCATATGGCCCTGACTGTGTAGTCCACAGGGTCCGACTGGACCCTCTGTTCAATCTCTACATGCCTGCCGTTAGGTTCCGTTAATAACCAGAAACAAAGTTACGCTATCATAACTAAGCAGACTACACTCAGAATCTATGTCTCACTGACTGCAGAGAAACATGGACCAGTGGAACTCACTCCTTCACTGTATCCACAGATCATGATTGGATCAAAACAACTTCCTTCAGAACTAAACGCCAGACAAAACTGATATGAAATGTCTTTGGTCCCAGAACAATGAAGAGCGTCATCTTCACATACAGTCTCTCTCCCTAACACCTCAAACAAGTCAGAAAATCTAGGGGTAATACTGGACTCAAGACTTAAATTAATTAGCCACATCAATTCAGTAACATCAGCAGCTTTTTACCATCGACAAAACATTGCCAGCATCAAAAAACATAGTGTCTAAAGCAGACGTTGAGAATTCTTATCCATCGCATTTTTGTCTCCATTAGGTAGACTACAGCAATGGCCTGCTCACAGTCTGTCCACGACATATACGGCTGTAAAACAGCTGCAGTACATTCAACAATGCAGCAGCTCGGGTGCATGACTAGAACCAGAAGTACGACCATATAAGCCGGGGTCCTCAGGACTCTGCACAGGCTTGCCTGTGGCCTCGAGAATAGACTGTTAAAACAGCTCTGCTTTGTTACAATCCTCCATTCCCATGCCTCCGCACCAAAATATATAGTGACATGTTAGTCCCATAAGAACCAGCCCACAACGTCTGGAGGAGCACAGGGACTGGACTCCTGTTATTCCCAGAGTCAGAACTAAACAAGGGAGGGCTGCTTTTTCAGATTCAGCTGCTAAAATCTGAACAAGTCTTCCTGAGATGTGAGACAGGCTCCTCTCTGACAATGTTTAAAACCAGTTAAAGACGTATCTGTTTAAGCGTGCAATACAACTGAGAGATTTTATATTTGTATCTTTCTTTTAAATGTTCTGTGATTATTTATGATTATTAAATGCTTCTTGTTTTGTTCAGACACTTTGAATTGCCTTGTGTAGGA